ATCCATCCATCCATCCATCCATCCATCTATCTATCTAGTGTTTCAGGCTTATTTGAAAACTACATGGTATGTGAGGTGGAGCAGGGTTGGAACTACACTCTGCAGGGCTGTGGCACTCCAAGAATTGAGTTCTGCACCCCGTCCTACAGCAACAGTCCCACCAACCAATCCAATGTTAGAAAAGGGTAGAGCTGATGTTAGGGCACAGTATAGTTTATCACCTATCATTTCCCTCTTAATGTTAGGCTAGTTAATGGTTAGGAGGAAGACTATGATTGTTTGATAGGACTGTTTTTCCAGGACCAGCAAAAGAATTTGATCTAGGGTGTCCTACTTGTTAAAACCACAGTGACACTATCCTTCCGTCCTTTCATTTTTCCAAATTAATAACAACTAAAAACCTATAGCCTCCAAATAAACATAAGAAATGGGTAATTACATTACGATTTTCCAGACCTGTTTTAAATTTAAAATGCTCTGCCAGTTTCAATTACTCACTTTTGGACTGTTCTGTTCCTCCTCAGCGAGACATGGTTGATCGTGTGGAGGCCTCTGTGGTTTTATCAGGTGACGGTACACTCATTTTTTATTCTTTAAGAACACTTATTATTTTATTATACAGCATATTTCATGCCCTTGTTTCTACACTACTCTCAAGGTGTGGTGGAGAACCTCCAGAAACCAGTGGTAGCGTTTGCACGTCTACGGGATTCAGTGGTGATGGAAGGGGTTCTGGAAGCTCCAATTCCAGTCCGTTTTGTCTTCTTCCTCGTGGGCCCCAGTTACAGTGGCATGGATTATCATGAGAGTGGCCGGGCTATGGCGTCGCTGATGACTGACTGGGTAAAGAGGAGCTATGGACTCAACACTGAAATGTTATTAAATAGATCAAATAAAATGAATTATTTTATAATGTCTCGTCTTGATTCTGTACCTGCAAACAGGTTTTCACTCTGGAGGCTTACTTAGCTACAAACGAGAAGGATCTGACCAATGCCATGGCAGACTTCATGGACTGCAGCATTGTGATCCCACCCACAGAAATCCAGGATGAGAGCATGCTGAAGCAAATCATTAACTTTCAGAAGAAGATGCTACGTGAGAGAGTCCGCCCATATGACACCCGACTCATGGGCAAAGGTCAGGCTTTATATATAATGACATGGTAATACTGGTGTCACTGTATTCATTTTATTGATTAAATAATATAAATAGTCTGATATTTATTAAATAATTTGGTAATGCTTTCAGCTCCTTACATTCTGCAGTACTGTGCAGATTTCCTAAAGAATCAGTGTAGAAAATGCAAAAAAAAAAAAAAAGTCTGCAGATTCAATCTAGGTCTGGGCCTTTTCAAGATGTAAATTTGACTTAATTATAATTATTTCATTTTAGTGTAGGATGCTGGTCTGTCATTACTGCAAAATATTTAATGTAGTTACACTCACACTTATATTCAGTCATTTAGCAGACACTTTTATCCACTTGCAAATGAAGAAAATATCAACAAATGTATCATGGAAGAGGCAATAATATTTTATTACTAAGATCTAATCATGTTCATACTTTTGGCTCTTCATACTTCACAAGTATGTTTTTTCTGTATACATCTTAAGGGTTTAATACCCTTCAAAGTTCAAACATGTATTTATATGCAGTTTAGAATTATCAATAATGGCTACATGGAACAGTCCTCCTCTGCATCTGTCTAGGCTGTCCTAGTCTTAAATCTGGAATTTCTTCTAATTAATTGTTGAATTGTTTTTTTTTAAGCCCCAACTGGACCTGAGAAGCCACGGGACGATCCACTGGCTCGCACCGGCTATCCGTTTGGCGGTATGGTCAAAGACATAAAACGCCGCTACAAGCATTACCTTAGTGACTTTACCGATGCACTTGACCCTCAGGTGCTGTCTGCTGTCATCTTCATCTACTTCGCTGCCCTTTCGCCTGCCATTACATTCGGAGGACTTCTTGGTGAGTACATTCACTGCAAGCATAGACTAATCACACCATTGAAAAATAACTAAGCCTCAATTAGCATTTGACTTGCAGTATAAAATCTGGTCCAAATTTTATCTTATTGTGGCCAATGACTGCCCACCTAGACAGGATGAATCCATGTAATGCAAGTGTTACAAGGCCACGTACACAAGTTGATGCTTAAAAAAGCTTTCAAACTGAACATGATAGTAATCCATACGACCCCAGCTGATGAACCAGTCTTCTGAAGTGAAATGATAGGTAAGAAAAAAAATTGTTTCCATGAAAAACCTTTAAAGGGGTCATATGATGCGATTTCAATTTTTCCTTTCTCTTTGGAGTGTTACAAGCTGTTGGTGCATAAAGAAGATCTGTAAAGTTACAAAGACTAAAGTCTCAAATATATAGAGATATTCTTTATAAAAGTTAAGAGTCAACCATGCCTACCTAAAACGGCTCGCTCTAACTTGCCCCCACATGTCTACGTCACGATGTGGGAAGGTTTGCATAACGCCGCCCAAATGTTCACGCAAAGAAAGAAGGTGTAACTTTGATTCTGGCTGTAGTATTGTTGCTGCCGCTGCCATGTCGTGGAGACACTGTGTGTTGTGAAAGCGAAACTACTTTGTGGCCTTCCAAAAGAGGACACAAATAGAAATCAGTGGTTAAGTTGTATTTAAAACACTCGGAGGACTTCTTGGTGAGTACATTCACTGCAAGCATAGACTAATCACACCATTGAAAAATAACTAAGCCTCAATTAGCATTTGACTTGCAGTATAAAATCTGGTCCAAATTTTATCTTATTGTGGCCAATGACTGCCCACCTAGACAGGATGAATCCATGTAATGCAAGTGTTACAAGGCCACGTACACAAGTTGATGCTTAAAAAAGCTTTCAAACTGAACATGATAGTAATCCATACGACCCCAGCTGATGAACCAGTCTTCTGAAGCGAAATGATAGGTAAGAAAAAAAATTGTTTCCATGAAGAACCTTTAAAGGGGTCATATGATGCGATTTCAATTTTTCCTTTCTCTTTGGAGTGTTACAAGCTGTTGGTGCATAAAGAAGATCTGTAAAGTTACAAAGACTAAAGTCTCAAATATATAGAGATATTCTTTATAAAAGTTAAGAGTCAACCATGCCTACCTAAAACGGCTCGCTCTAACTTGCCCCCACATATCTACGTCACGATGTGGGAAGGTTTGCATAACGCCGCCCAAATGTTCACGCAAAGAAAGTACTTGTAAAGTACAAAGTGTAACTTTGATTCTGGCTGTAGTATTGTTGCTGCCGCTGCCATGTCGTGGAGACACTGGGTGTTGTGAAAGCGAAACTACTTTGTGGCCTTCCAATGCATTTAGTTATTTGCAAATTGTAGACAGCTGTACTTTATCTTTTGCACGCAACTGCCAAAACTCAATAGAATTTGCTTAAACTAATAAAAATTCTAATCTGGTGTACGTATTTGCATGTCCATTTGTACACATTTCTTATCTCTGAAGTCAAGTACGGCAGTAAAAAAAAAATCTCTTTACAGAATGTAACACTACAAGTTGCATGAACTGGTGTGTAGGGCTGTTCCTACATGTTCAAAAATGGTTGTGATTGTGCTATGTATGACAGTTTTACTGAGAATCAACTCATCAATTTTGCTCAGCAAGCTATGTGCATTTAGTTATTTGCAAATTGTAGACAGCTGTACTTTATCTTTTGCACGCAACTGCCAAAACTCAATAGAATTTGCTTAAACTAATAAAAATTCTAATCTGGTGTGAACAAGAAATTCATTGTTGAAAGATTTGAACTTATCACTTTGAGAAAGAAAAAAAAATCTTAATAGAGAATTGACCCAGCGCGACAAACTCCCTAGTGAAATAAGCTAATGAAGAGAACCATGTTTCATGCATCTGGACCCATAGCATTAATGGATTCAAATAATCTGGGGTTTTGAACAGTAGAATGGATAGTTTCATTCATGTGTCTCATGGTAAATGTGTTTTTTAACTTCCTGCTTTAGAAACTGGTGGTGCCAAAGGGGCTGACCGTGTCCAACACATCTGCTAGAGGCTGGATCATCAGCCCATTTGGTGAGAAGAAGCCATTCCCTGTCTGGATGATGTTTGCCTGTGCTATTCCTGCCTTGTTGGTCTTCATCCTTATTTTCCTTGAGTCCCAGATCACTACGTGAGTGTGATATTCAGAATAGAGCACATTTAAATTCACACTGGGTGAAGACACATATGCTAGAAGATCTTCACTATAAAGAAAACAGCAAGAAGATACAGAAGAAGATACAATGAATTTTTTTTTTGAAAGAAGTCTATTATGCTCACCAACATTAATGTAATCAAAAATACAGTAAAAACAGGAATACTGTAAAATATTACTATAATTTATGATAAAATGAAGATTCATGCAAGGATTTTGGAAGTCCAAATTTTGGAGTAGCTACTGCCTTAACCTCACACCTTTTCCTTACCATCCAGGCTGATCGTGAGTAAGCCTGAGAGAAAAATGGTCAAGGGCTCTGGTTTCCATCTGGACCTCCTCCTTTTGGTGTTCTTGGGAGGAGCTGCCTCTATCTTTGGTGCCCCCTGGCTCAGTGCTGCTACAGTGAGATCTGTCACACATGCCAACGCCCTGACTGTCATGACCAAAGGCCCCAGACCTCAGATTGAACGTGTGATAGAACAAAGAGTCAGTGGTATTTTGGTGGCCGTGATGGTTGGTGAGTTCCAAGCCTTTTATCTGATATAATGATACTTAATAAACACAATTAGATTTTATTTGCCATTAAAAAAATAAAATCAACATAATTATACTTAAATGATATTGACAATACACAGAATAATAAAAAATTCTTTACCCACAGGGGTCTCAATTCTCATGGAGCCCATCCTGAAGATGATACCTATGACAGCTCTGTTTGGGATCTTTCTCTATATGGGCATCACTTCACTGAGTGGCATCCAGCTTTGGGACCGTATGCTTCTGCTTATTACACCGAAAAAGCATCACCCTCCTGTTCCATTTGTCACCCGGGTAAGATTTAATTACAGACACACATACACGCTATATGGAAGTGAACTATTGTTCAAAAGTTTGGGTTCCGTCCAAGTTTTTTTAAGAAACTGATACTTCTATTCAGCGAGGATGTTTTATATTGATCAAAAGTAACAATAAAGACCTTTATAGTGCTACAAACCATTTCTATTTCAAATAAATGCTGCTCTTCTGAGCTTTCTATTCATCAAAGAGGAAAAACTGTATCACAGTTTCCACAAACATATTAAGCAGCACAGTTGTTTTCAAAAGTGATAATAATAAGAAATGTTTCTTGAGCAGTAAATCAGCATATTAGATTGATTTCTGAAGGATCGTGTGACACTGAAGACTGGAGTAATGATGCTGAAAATTCAGCTTTGCCATCACAGGAATAAATTATATTTCAAAATATATTCAAATAAAATGGTTATTTTAAATTATAGTAATATTTCACACTATTCCTGTTTTTACTGTATTTTTGATTAAATTAATGCAGTGTTGGTGTGCATAAAGACTTCTTTTAAAAAAAAAACGTAATTTAAAATCTTTTATCAAATCACAAACTTTTGAACAGTACTAAGTAGTGCAGGGTGAAACCCAATAATTAGAAGGAGGTGTCCACATACTTTTGGCCATGTAGTCAATCTGTCGATCTATTGATCCATCCATCTACAGTACCGATTTCTCTCTCTCTCTCTCTGTGTTTCTCTACAGGTGCCCACTATGCATATGCACTTGTACACTGTGATCCAGGTGATGTGTTTGGTGATTCTGTGGGCAATAAAATCTAGTGCATTTTCACTTGCTCTGCCCTTTGTCCTGATCCTCACGATCCCTCTGAGAATGTGCATGACCGGTCACGTCTTCACTATCATGGAAATGAAATGTGTAAGTATCTCTTTTATAGGCCCGAGACCCCTATGCATTTCTGCATGAACTTTTCCCTCACCATGTCTTAATAGAAAACAAAGCAAGTTAAAAAGTGCTATATGAACCCTTCATGTTGTACACATAATGCATTGTTTTATACTGATATTTTTTCCTTAATTATTTTATTTTTCAGTCAAAAACACTCATTCACACCTATGCATTAGTATTTTTTCTATGTTGTGACTGCTTATGTTATGTCATCCTTTTGCAGCTGGATGCAGATGATGCAAACGTGAAATTTGATGATGAGGATGACTAAAATAACCCTAAAAAACCCCTGGACGTCTTTCTTGATTCCAAGCCACTATGAATTCATCTTACTGTGTGCATTACATGAGAATCTTTTGCTTCTATTTTTTAACTGTTGTGCATTCAAATCTTAGCTTAACCAATCGATATGTCTTTATATCATTCAAGTTTAAGAATTAATGCACACCTAAAATTCATAAACTGTTCATATACATTCCATAGCCATTAGTATTTTTTCTATGTTGTGACTGCTTATGTTATGTCATCCTTTTGCAGCTGGATGCAGATGATGCAAACGTGAAATTTGATGATGAGGATGACTAAAATAACCCTAAAAAACCCCTGGACGTCTTTCTTGATTCCAAGCCACTATGAATTCATCTTACTGTGTGCATTACATGAGAATCTTTTGCTTCTATTTTTTAACTGTTGTGCATTCAAATCTTAGCTTAACCAATCGATATGTCTTTATATCATTCAAGTTTAAGAAAAATGCACACCTAAAATTCATAAACTGTTCATATACATTCCATAGTTGTTTATCACAATCTTTTCTAACTTTTATTTGCTTTTTCATGGAACATTATGCTTTATTTTTTCTTTTGTGTGTTTGTGTGCCTGATAAGTTTTTTTTTTCTTCATTTGGGATTTATACATCCTGGTGTTTATTTATTTTATGTATTCAGGGTTTTGTGCAAAAAAAATCTCCTGTCCGTGTGAAGCATGTCAACTACACACCAGCTTGAATGTAAATCCTATCCTGTTTTAACAGGTGATGCCTATGCAAAATGTGCCTTTATATTTCTTATTAGAATTTCAATGTTTCAGGGACACCATACCTGTAAATATTATAGGCTTACAAATACAGAATGTTAGCGTAGGTTACTATTGCAAAGATTTGATACTTTAGAGTATAAATGAATATTTGGTTTTATGTATGCTTGGTCTGTTATGGTGTGTGACTTTGTTTAATGATTACAATTCTTTAAAACATCTAAAATTATTATTAGTAAACAAGCCTTATATTCCTGTTCTAAATTAGTCATCGGCACATGCAAACACATCCACTTTTCCAGCAGGCTTGACTTCACAGGAGGCCTGGCCCACCCTGGCAACCACCCTCTCCAGCCACCTTCTCGAATGTCCAGCCCATTCTGTGAGTCCTATGAGCTTCCTTACATGTTAAAGCTGGACCTGCTTTTCTGAAAACTTTGAGGAATTATTATTTTTATTTATTTTTTCAGAAAATGTTAAAACTTAAAATGTAGTGTTGTCACTAGGTTCAAATAATCCCATTATTATTATTAATATATATATATATATATATATATATGTTTACATTTTTGTCAGTGAATAGTATACTCTACCATTCGGAGTCGAAGTAGGTAAGATTTTTAATGGTTTTGAAAAGTCTCCTATGCTTAACAAGGCTGCATTTATTTGATCAATAAACAGTAAAAACTAATTGTGAAATATTACAATTCAAAATCACTGTTTTTAATTTAATAGATTTTTTTAAATATCATTCATTTCTGTGAAGACATTTTCAGCCATTTATCACATGAGAAATCAAAAATCATTCTAATATGCTGATTTGATGCTCAATAAATATTTCTTATTATTATCAATGTTCAAAACAGTTGTGCTGCTTAATATTTGTCTAAAAACCATGATTATTTGATGCATGGAAAGTTCAAAAGATACATATTTGAAATAGAATTTGTAACTTTTTATTTTTCATTCAAATGAACGTTTAACCAAGTTTTGGTCAGTTTAATGCATCTGCTGGATTTCTTTCTTTTTTTTTTTAACTGTTGAATGGTATTGCACGTTTTGTAAATTTGAGAGTCACACGACCTGTGGATGGCATTTTATAATTGATTACAATTACCAAATATCCCATCAGGACTTCATGTATAAATACATTTCCTTAAAATAAATGAAAAAAGTTGTTTTATTGAAGGGAGATACTGCCACAGTATATGCTGTTTACAGGTGAATCATTCAAGTAGGTTATTGATAGTGCTAAATGATTTCAAATATATATATATAGTGAGTTCATTTTTGGTTTGGCGTCAGTGGAGGTGTACTGATAGGGCTGTAGTGCGATAAAAGACAGAAGCTTGGAAAGCACTGGCCTAGGTATTGTTTCCGGAAGCGGGAGAGCAATCCAATGAAACGCGCTGATGTTTAACGAATCAGCGCGCTCATTGGAAAATCATGTTTTCTCCTAATCAAAACGTCTTGATTGGACAGCGCAGGTGACGCCCACAAACAGACAAGGTGGGGTTTAATTATTTAACGTGACAAAAAGATGTAGCTGTCAGACTGAAAATACCGAAAAGATGTTTAATGTACAAAACAGTCCACTCTTTACATCATGCATGCATTTTGGGAGTTTCAATTCAAATACAAAAAGTTTTTAAAAAAAAGTTACAACTGGGACTTAATTCAAGAAAACTGCTTTTCTTTTTTCTTAAAAAAAACAAATCAAAACGTAAATCACTCAGGGACACATTCAGTCAAATTCACTTCTTTTATTAAACATTTCACATGATCATCACGAGTAGACAAAAGCGTTCAAAACAAGCCCGAGAGGCTACAGGCGGGCGCAGGTTTGAGGGCGCCTCGGCAGCTCAAGTTTATAATCCAAATGGAAGCGAAGCCCGGGCGACCCATCCGTGATGAGAGCGGCGAGCAGGGGAGAGACTGAAAACGCGGATGTCTCTTTGGAAAGAGAAATGAGCGGATCGAGAGAGCTGCGCGCTGACTGGAAGGAGAGCGAGAGAGATGGAGGCGGGGGGAAGTCTCTCAGCTCTGCGGGGACTGGAGCGCCCGTGCCCTGGACCGGCGGCGCAGTGCTGGCTAACATTCAACCCTCCCCTTGTTCCAGCACCAGTTCCACACACAAGCAGCGACAGGTAAGATCGAACCAGCGCCTCATCCTACCAACCGTTGGGTAAACAAACCTTGAAAAAAAAGAAGAAAAAAAACAAACAAGAATCTTAGGATGCAACGAAAAAAATTCAGATCGTTCGTGGATTTTGTTTTTGTAAAGCCGCCTCGTTGAAATTCGCGTTGACTTGGTGCAAGGCACGGTACATTCCGAGGTCGCCTTACCCGAATTTCCCGTGCAGTGACTCGGGGGAAAAACATCCTCCGTTAATCTACCACAACCTTCGTTTAATTCCCGAGTATAACTCCAGAAGCCGCTAACCTTGTTTTTTAAGCGCGATAAGGGCACCTCTGTCGTGTTTGGAGCCCGCGCGGTCGTCTTCATTTCCGAGTCAGGACTCCGTGAGGCTTGTGGAGGAAGAAGCAGCCGCCTCTGGTTCGCCTTCAGGGAGCTCGGTTATCTCACCGTGTGGGCTCGTTTTCGCTTGCCGTGAAAGCAAAGTTCGCGATCACATTTGACAGTTTTTCGGTTATCTGTGTTTGGGGAGCAAGCAGGGTGAGTTTTGAAGCGTTCGCGCTGTTCTTCCTCTCGGTGGAGGTGAATTAGGCTCGCAGCGCGCGTGGAGGGTAGCATGGCGGCTCTAGAACAGTCCACACACGCCTCTGAGGCGTCCGCTCGCTCGGCTGTTGCGTTTTCTATTGTGACTTGGGAACTAAAATGACACGTTTATACACCAGATTGATTCATTTCTAAACGAGTGGATGTCGCTTGTCATAACTGTGCTTCAATCACCGCGTGTTCAGTGACATTAACCGCATATTTCTTTCATTTTTGTTTCCCCAGCCTTTGAAGACCCTGCTGCCATACGCGCTGCTCACGCCGTGCTTTCACCCCGCGTTCATTGTCACTCGAAAGTCGGGGTAAACAACCAGATTTCTTCACGGTAAGAGGACATTTTGGACGCCGGCTACACGTTCTTTTTTAACAGCCGATAATGAGACTTGATTTTAGCCGCATTTTAGGATTATTTTCGACGACTGCTGGTTCAGATTTCACCAGGGTTTTTAGGGGGATTCAGTGCTAGTTACAGCCGGATCGCTCCGGTGTCGGTCGGTTTAACACGGTCACATTTTATTTCAATAAACTTATTTTGTAGATATTTCTAAGCTATCATTTGTAGCTCTTAACACGTGTAGACACAAAAACATGTTGCCGAGTTTATAATTAAGCTGGGTACGTTAACTTAAATCAGAAAACCCGTTTTAAACGTTAAACAGCACCAATTATGTAATTGAATGAGGTTTTGATATGGAAAACGTTAAGCTTAAACAATGGTTTAATAGACCCTTATAACACTTTGACGTGTTTTGGTCTTAAATGTAGAGCCCCGTTACAAAGCTTTTGTTCATAAATGCGATTAAAATCCACAAAATAGTTTTTTCTGAGCATTTATATCGTAGTAACGCTCTATTCTGCCCAAACGGGGTCGGGTTATCACGCCATCCACTTTTTTAGAAACATTTCATGGTGGATAAAATGCGCTTCAGCCGGGCTCTGTTTTAAAGCTGGACTCTGCTGGCTCGCGCGCCGCCATTACACATTCAGCGCAGCGGCGACGCCTCGCCCTGGAAAAAGCCATTTTGTGACTAATTCAGTCGGCGCACACGTTTGCTAAACGACATCAGATTATGACTAGCCCTTCATGTTCAAGCATTTTAAAAACAGTCGCTATGAATCAAAGGGGGCGACCCAGAACGCGTCCGTGGCGGAAGCGGAGACCCGCGCCCCGTTGGTTTGGAGGCAGACTCTGGTGCTGCATGCTGTAGCAGTCACTCATGATCCCTGGCTGTGTTTCCCCCTCTCAACGCAGACCGAAAGCAGATCCAGGTCCGTCTACAGGCAGCTATCGCCCAAAACGCTGCTTCCTCCTCCTGTAGCACCTCCCAGTATCCGCTCGTTCGCCGAAAATATACTCCAATGTCGAGCGACTTCACGAAACGCTCGCCTCGAAAAAACGCGCCGAGTGCAGGAGAAGCCGTTTCAAGTCTTAGTTCTGTAGACAAAATGGAAGATTAGACGGATTGGCTGCTCTTGCTGGTGTCGACTGCAGAGTTATTTGAGATTTTGAAGCCGTCACAAGCAGTGGGCTCTG